TGGATACTCAGCCTATGACAGAAAATTGTATGTGCAGGTCTGTCTTCGTATAGCCCCATATAACGGTACCCCCCGATATTCGGTATTTTGATGATTTTAGCGACATTATTTACCGGAATTGTTTCGATTTTGGTATTTGAAGTTCGTAAGGTATACTACATCCGAAGACAGAAAATGAGCCATGTAGGTCCACGTCTTCGTATAGCCCCCATGTAACGGTACCTCCCGATATGCGGTATTTTGATGATTTTAGAGACGTTTTTTACCGGAACTATTTCAAATTTAGTATTTGAAGTTCGTAATGAATAATACAGCCTATGACAGAAAATTGTCTGTGCAGGTCCACGCATTGTTATTTACCAGAACTATTTCAAATTTGGTATTTGAATTTCATAATGAATACTACAGCCTATGACAGAAAATTTTCTGTGCAGGTCCACGTCTTCGTATAGCCCCCATATAACGGAACCCCCGATATTCGGTATTTTGATGATTTTAGCGACATTATTTACCGGAATTGTTTAAAATTTCGCATTTGAAATCCGTAATGGATACTCAGCCTATGACAGAAAATTGTCTGTGCAGGTCCACGTCTTCGTATAGCCCCCATATAAAGGGACCCCCAATATTCGGTATTTTGATGATTTTAGCAACATTATTTACCGGAATTATTTCAAATTTTGTATTTGAAGTTTGTAATGGATACTACAGCCTAAGACAGAAAATTGTCTAGGCAGGTCCATTTATAACGGCCATGGCACCTCCCTATATTCGGTATTTTGATGATTTTAGCTACATTATAAACAGATTTTTTTTCAAGTTTCGCATTTGAATATTGCCTATTCAGGTCTAAGTCGTCGTATAGACCCTAATATATGGCTACATTCGGTAGTTTTAAGATTTTAACAAAATTTTTAACGTATTTAATTTTTTTGAAAATTGTTAAATTTATACCAAATGGTGTAGGGTATTCAAAGTTCGGCCCTGCCGAACTTACAGCTTTTTTACTTGTTTTCATTTTTTGCATCAAAAACCGAGAGGAAAATATTTCTAATTTCTGGGAATATTTTTCTGTCCACGAACAATCCAGATTTTTCCAGGAAAATACCCGGAATTGGCATTTTCAAATAGCACAGAATAATTGTTGTATGATTATTATTTTCACAACAACAAACTAGTTTCGCGAAGAGGAATCCACTTGAACACAAGAAGTGTTAATATTTGTGGACCAAACCGAAACAATGCCCTAACTAAGGCTATTTTCAAATAGAATCACACAACTGTTTTTTTGCCAAATATATTAGTGCTAATGACAAATTATTCGGTCCTATTCCGCATACGACCAATGATTAACTCAGGTGAGTGGAGGAAAACTTTGACAGCGACAATAACAAGAACTCCCCAATGAAGAACATTTCAAAGAAATATTTAATATTATTCTATATAGATTTCATTCTTCGTACGTGGATATCTTTTTATACCCTACACCACAAGGTGGTCAGAGTGTTGTGTCTTTGTGAATTTGTTTGTAACAAGCAACAGGAAACGAGATAGACCCATTGTTCCTTTTGATGATCTGTATAGAATCATATTCTGAGTCGATTTATGCATGTCCGTCCGTCTGTATTTCTTGTAAACAAAGTACAGGTCTCATTTATTGCCCGATTCAGATGAAACTTTGCACAAATAATTTGTTTGAGCCAAGGACGAACCCTATTGAAATTGAAGATAATCGGTCAAAATTTAGGTATAGCTCCTATATATATTTTCGTCCAATTGTCCTTATATTGTGCACTAAACTTTTAATATCAGCCCAAATAGTATAGAATTTGCATGTACGGCTAGATTGGACCTGAAAATTAGTATGGCAAATTTGATCGAAATCGGTTCAAATATATATATAGCTCCCATATATATTGTTCATCCGATTTGTTATATCTATCCACCGCAGCCGTAATATGCACCCTGTAACAACGATATTTGGGGAAATATATCAAATATAATTCAGAAATACTCTTGGTAATTTTTTTCGAGATCGGTTAATATTTGGATATAGCTCCCATATATATCTTCGTCCGATTTGCCTTTTATTTTGCACCAAACGTGTAATAGTAGGCCAAATGGAATGGGATTTGGTACTTACGACCAAATTGAGTCTGGAAATTTGGTGGAAATCGGTTCAGATATAACTATAGCTCCCATACATATTGTTCATCCGATTTGTTGAATTTGCCCTGCATAGCCGTAATATGGACTCCGTAGTTACGATATTTGGGGAAATATATCAAATACAGCTCAGAAACACCTTTGCTAAATTTTATCGAGATCGGTTCAGATTTAGATTTAGCTCCCATATATATTTATCCGATTTCAAGTAAATTGTGCACCAAATGGATAATACAAGCCTGAATTGAAAAGGCGCAAATGCCTCGACAAATTTAGTAAAAATCGATTCCGAGGAGGATATTCCTCCCACATATTAGTTCCTTTGGACTTTTAATCAATTTTAATAATTTTTTATGTGAAGCCCTACTAAGTATGTAAAGTGGTGTAGGGTATCATAATGTTGGCTTCGCCCGACTTTAAGACTTTGTTTACTGGTTTTCCTAATGCAACCATACCTCTTTAATGATTTGGAGAGGCATCAGAGCCTGGTTAGCATAACGGCGAACGAAAGATTTGAACAATAAAAAGTAAAACAACTTTAAACACCCTTCACCATTAACTAAAAAATGTATATACAATTATATGGATTAAAATTTTGAACAATAAAGAGGGTGGTAAACGGCAACCAATATGTACAGGGGTTGTTATTTACTGCAAATCGTAAATAACTAATTTGAAAACCAACCCATTATGAACTATAAACAATAAATTTTATACAAATCCGTTAGAAAATGTGGCTTGATCAAACTGCCGAATATCCGAAGCTACCGTTATATTTGGTTCTATATAAAAAACGTGGACCTATATACACAGTGTTCTGCCATAGTAGGTAGAACCCATTACGAACTACAAATGTTTAATAAAAAAAATCCGTGAAAAGCATGGCTAAAACCATGATTATACCAACTATCTGGAGGTACTTTTATATGGGAACTGTACCGAAACGAAGACCGATATATTCGTTTTTGACAATGCTTTGATTATGACAAATATGACTCATTCAAATATGACTTCTATACAATCAACTGTATTGGGATTTATACCGAAAATCATGAAGAATAGAGGTTTCACTATTTGGGCTATTTTAATTAAAACGGATTAATAATCTAATTTAAAATATACTACTCTCTTCATGATCTCATTTTTCTTTGATGGTGGTACTTGAAGAATTTTTATACCCTCCACCTTCAAAAGGAGTTTACATTACCTTTGTCATACCGTTTGTAACACCCCTAAATATTCCTCGTGGGCCCCATAAAGTATATATATTCATGATAAGCATAAAATTCTAAGTTGATTTAACGATGTCGGTCCACCTTTTGCTATATCCGCTATATTTTCGGCACACTTTTTCATGGATTTGTTTTAAAAATTGCTAATTGTAGGTCATAGTGGGTTTTATATCCAGTGTCGAAACATTGTACGTAAAGGTCTACGTGTTTGAATAGTCCCCATATAACGGTACCTCCCGAAATTCGGCTTTGTCCAAAAGTTGGTATTTGTATTTCGTAATGAGTTTTAGCTCCAGCGGCACGTGCGCTCTTCGATTCTTCTTCTAGGGAAACTTTTATTTGGGAATGTTTATTCAATTATTTTTACTGCTAGCAATGTATGTCAGTCAACGTTGGAGCTGAGCCATAACTCCGATCAGAGTCTTTCGAGAATTTAGTGATCTGCGTCATATGTACTTTACTCATCAAAATCATAAATGAAAGTAAGCTATCCCTGCTTCTGACCACTCTGTTTTTTCTGATTCCGTTTCAGAGATTCTCCTTATATGCACGTTAAAACGACCGCTCACTTATTCAAAGATGAATGCGTTCTTTCATCTTTTGTCGAAACATATCGTCTGTGATTTTATTGTCTTTTCCTTTTTGCATTGCATTCTCACAATTTCTACGTTTCTCAATAGAGAACAAGTAAAACAGCTTTAAATTTGACCGACCCAAAATTCTTATACACTCCACCTCTATGTTTATCGAAGTAAAATGAACTAATGAAGAATAGTATATATTAACTTTAATCCGTCTTAATTAAAATAACTAAAAATAGCGAAACCCCTATTTACCTGAATATTGGTATAAATTCCAATAAGTTAATTGTATAGAAATCATACTTGCTTAAATCACACTTGGCATAATCAAAGTATCGACGAACAAAAAAGATAACAGTTCTTATTATTATGTTTATACTTGAAGTATTAAGTGTATTAGTATTAGATTGCTATAAATGTATTGCATTTATCAAATATCGAAAATTGGGAGAATTTGAAAAATGTTTATATGGAAGTATACTAAATAGTAATACTGAATTGATGATCATTCGGTTGGGTATTGTGGCAAATGTGTCAAATTTAAAGTTGAAAGGCCAATATTTACTTTTTTACTTCATTCCCCTAAAACACATCCATTGCATAATATGTTGCATTTTTTTTAATGAAGTTACAAACTACAGCTTCAGAGTTAGGTATCTCAAATTTAATCAACCTGGTCTAACTTAATTAATGTACCTTAATAAGGAAATGTTGTCATAGAGAAATTAATTTCTATAACAATGTGTTTTTTCCAAAAATGGTTTTAAATATCCCTGGTTTGTATAAGAGTCGTTGTACCCTTTAGAATGTATGATCATGCTCAAGACTCTTCTATTGCAAAGTTGAAAAACCAATATTTAATATTTTATTTTTAAAGAAACACGTCCATTGGACATTGATAATTAGAAATCCACATTAGTGGAACACGCCGAGGAACATTTAAATGATGCTATCGCAATTGTGTTTTCCTTGAAATTAAAGTAATTTGTAATTATAACATTAATCACAGATGTGTACATACCTATTTGTATGTGAAAATAGAAAGAAAGATGAACCAGCTGGTATGGGTTGTATACTCGTACTAGCATTGGCCTCAGGTAACGTTTTTTGGGTGTAGGAAGAAATATCATCGTTTTCTAAAAAAAAAAAACAATGTTGTGATATCTGTTTTTAATAGTTCTATCCTACTGCAGATAATTGTGTGAAAAGCTCGGCCGAACTTAGGTGCTTTGTTACTTGTCATATTCAAAAATGTGTTTAGTCTTAATTTAATAACCGCGAAATATTCGTACATAAAATGTTGAAAGCGCATATATTCAAAAAGGGGTAGCGAACCTCACAGGGCTCATCTAAAACATTCATAAAAGAAGAAATTTATTTTAAATTTATGGACTCGAAATTCGCTAAACATTCTACAATTGTGCCTGAAAGTGAAATTGGCAGCATACATTTTTGAATTTCATTTATAACTGAAGATATAACGGAGGTATCTCAAAAAAAAAAAAAAAAAAAAAACTGTATGTACACATCTATTTATAGCTTAAAAGTACACTCTTCAAATTTGGAATGTGTAAGGAAATTTGGTACAAAAATGAGTTTGCCAAATTATATTGAATTCGGTTCAGTTTTGGATATAGCTCCCATATATATTTCCAGCCGATTTAATGCATTTGATATATAAAACACGCTGTATCTGTCACATATCAATGAAATTTGGATTGGATTTGGTACAAATATTTATTTGTAAAATTATATTGAAATCGTAAACATTTTCAGCTGATTTCATGTATTTGATGTATTTGGAATACATATCAAATTCCCAATTTCAATAAAATCTGGAATGTGTGACGGAATTTGGTATCCAACTAAATTCCTTAAATTTTATAAAAATTGGCTCAGATTTGTATATTGGTCCTATATAATTTTTTCGCTGCATTTGAAATGTGGACAAAATTGGTCTGCAATTGGCATATGGTAATGGTACAGTAAATAGCTATAAAACAACTTAATCGAAGCTACGATTATTACGGGAAAGTGTTTATAGAGGGTAAAATAAAACACTGCAACCAAATTCAGACTGCTGTCATTTCTAAGCCACTCGTTCGATAGCTGTTAAAATCATTCCACTGACATCTCATTACATTGTTTACAAGCGTATAAAAGCATTTTGGTGATAATTTCCCAAAAAAAAAAAAAAGTTATTCGTGATGGAATTCGAACATGATAGTGTGATTTCTTTATAATTGGCTGCATTTAAATGTGAACAAATATTTTGTGTCTCGTACCATCGCTCGTTACCGTGTTACTGGTAACGTAGCCCGACGTCAAGGAAGTGGACGGAAGAAAACAGCAACATAAGCAGAAATGATTCGAAAAGGAAATAAGCGATTTGATCGAAACCCGCGTCGCAGTGACCGAAAAATATCTCGTGGGCTGAACATATCGCAATATTACATTCGAGAATATAGAAAAATGAGTCATTGACAATTCTAAAAGTGCAAGAACTTACACCGCAATAGAAAGAAAGCAGACTCAAAAGAGCTAAAGGGTTGCTTCGCTTAGTCGAAAGTTGTGAACTGCCGAATTTGGTTTTCACCGATTAGAAAACATTCGTTGTCCTACAAAATGATCGTGTTTTCTTGCCAAAGAGGTTAGCTGAATATGTGCCCCACCATAACAGACGATGGTCGCCCTCCGCTCGTATTAATAGACCGTGGCATCCGAATAAATTCCGAATATTATCGCGAAAACATTCTGGAGGGTGTACTAAAGCCTTGGGCACACAAACATTTTGGTCGCAGACCTTGGACATTCCAGCAGGACTCAGCACGCGCCAGCCAAGGATGGTTACAAAATGAGGTTCCTCGCTTTATTTCCATGGCACATTGGATCCGTTGGAATATTGTGTCTGGAGTATTTGGAATGCAAGGTTGGCACTAAAAATCTGGCCGGGAATGGGCCAAAATACCGCAGAGCAACATTCGGGCAGCATGTGACGGTTTCATTGGCCGTTTGAATGCCATAGTCCGTAGCAAAGGTAATCAATTCGAACAAATGTATACTTATTCTTAAATTTGATACTATTTCCGAGTTTTAAGAAAAATGTATAAATTATCCCGTTTGACTTTGTTGCAGTTTTTTATCTCACCCAAAAGACACATTTGGTAGTAACGCTAATTTTTGGAAATTTGTGGTATAAGGTTTCGAAAAGTTCAAGTAATTATTATTGACCAATCTGGAGATACTAGATCACTGAGGTGTACGAAATTTACTTTAATGTACTAAATATTTTAAAATTCATATGGAAGCTACATCTTTGATTTCTTGTAAATAGGTATATCTGCGATAAACAAAGAGTGATCCGGAACGACATTATAAAAATTTCTCGTTGTTGTTTTCAAGATCAGGTGGTTAGCTAATATCGGGAGGTCTCACAACCTTGAATAGAGCGATTGCGAAAATCTAGATCTCTGAATGTTTATATTTAATTATCGCTGTGATAACGTAAATCATTCATGAAACCTACTTGGTATTTTTTTCAGTCAAAGTACATGAAATGCTCAAAAAGTTAGTGAATTTTTTATCAGTTGTCTTTAGTGAGCGGCAATAGCTAAAACTGTGATCTTGTTGTCAGAGCCTTGATCACAAAGCCAATTTGAGCATGGTGATGTACAATATTTGGAGTTGGTTCTGCCGTTTATAATAAAATGAATATTATTTCTTCTTTAATATTTCGTATGTGTATATAACAAAATTATATTACTGTAAAAATATTCACCATGTGTACCACGATTACGGCAAATTCAACATTTTGGTATATTTACACCTTGTTTGTAATACTTACGATTTTTGTTTTGTTACTTGCCCTTCTGAAAAATTTATGAAATACCATTGGTAGATGAGTTGACATTGTGAATTTCTTTTAAAATTGATACATTTTCATAGCAATTATGGAAACATTTCCTGATTTCTGGTTTCATAACTTGTGCTATCATATATACAAATTAATAGTGCTTATGTTGGATGCTGGGTAAAGCCTCCATTGGTATAACGCAATACCTACAGAAAATCTAAATAAATTCCATAAAAGACCACTGTAGATATGCTAAAGAAATTGCAAAACTCATCGCTTACATTTGTGAATAGTGCGAAGTTTGTTGTAACCCCCCAACTGTTGTTCAAAATTAGTTTTTCCTACCTAAAATTTGATAACTTAAATTTAGAATAACATTTTAAGTTTTTTTTTCAATTTCTATTACATAAAAATTGTTCCAGCTATTGTTGCGCAATTTAGTTTGAAATAAAAAGCTCGGTCCCCTTGGGCAATATTGGGCGAAAAATATCAATTCATTCTCTGCAACAATCTGACCACCATATATTATTATTCAACAAATACAGAAATAGTTGTTTTTGGTCAAACAAAATTATTTGCAGGAAACAATAATTTCAGCATTTTACCTGATGCATATATAAGGTAGGTCAGTCCTATTTTTCTAGTAACTACCCTACAATAGTTTAACATTTCACATATCTCATATAAAGGAGGAGTCCAAGCCTAAAAACTTATTGTTCAGGCAAGCGGTTGAATTGCCTGGGAAAGCTGTGGATGTAATCAATTTGTCCTCCGGACCCCAAACAAAATCCAAGACCAGATTTTATCTGTGGTAACTGGCAGAAACGATGAACAGTATTGGAACTCAAATCCAGTGTAATGTAACAAAAGCTTTTAACATGATTATCTTAGGATTATCTTAATTACGATCTTCCTGGATTTGGCTACCAACTTTAGAAGTCGAATTGGAATTGAATTCAAGTTGAAATTCGACTCCCAATATGGCTAGAAAAAACATAAAAAATGATCATAACTCCGATAACGAATAAATAGTACACTAACAGTGGTGATAGTTATGTTTAATATACAATTACAATGGTTTACGTTTTGACGTAAACGTGCCGCCCGATGGCAAGGGGGCGATAAATTCATTTCATTAATATAATGAATTCATTACTAAATACGTGCGACTTAGATACAACAGATTATATGATAATGCAATATGTTTTTAAAATGTTTTCAATTGGCATATTACTTTTTAAATAGTTATCGTGTATTCTGAATTAAAGTGGAATGTAGATATACAGGAGAGAGAGAGAGAGTCTAATTATTACACGCTTTTAACTTGATTGTCCAATTATTTGTATTAATTGGAAAATGTTCCATAGAGCACTAGTCCGGAAAGTGTATTTTGAGCAGTAGGCAGCTCATGGCGAATAAAGATACCGTAAACAATTATTTTCGAATATATGTCAAAACCAAAGACAATATCAACAGAATATGCCTTATAGAATTTGTTATCTTCAGGACAAAGTTTTTGAAAATGAGTGTTGAAGACTCATTCGCAATATTGCTTCAAGGTGGGGGAGCATATAACTTCGTCTTCTAGCTCGATCGTAGACAACCTCAACTTATCTACGAACCAATAAACACCTTGCTCCGTTAATTTTGACGACTGCTGTAGGAAGAAGAGGAGTGGCATTCTGCCTAAGATGTGCCGACAAGGAGCTAATGCTGGCTGTTTATCTTGTCCTCGGTATAGAACCGGTTATGGCTAAAGAATCTTAACAGATGGCGACGTCAAGAGGGGTCATTCAGTACCCATATTTCTTGACCTCATCTAACCTTTCGGCGAAGTTCATGGCACGGAATTTCTAGCACGATTTTAGAGGACGCTTTTTCGGGACAACCTGCACGTATATTGCGAGTGACGTGAAGATGAATGACCTTTCATATGGATGACTGCGAAATTGCTGGTTCTAAGGGAGTCTCTGACAAACGTAGTTCCGTTGCCAGAGAGTAAATGGAAGTACAGCCACGACAGGAAACAAAACGGCTAAAAGCGGCTAGAAAATTGGATCTAGATAAGTCGGATGTTGCTTCAAGGTGAATTACCTTTGTGGAAAAACAGACAAACACACAGACATATCCTATGGTAATACGACAGTATCTCCCAGTATAGCCCTTGATATCAAAAGGTTTTGCAAAGTCTAAACCAGTATGCGTGAGAGGCCGGGAGATTTCACACATTTCTGGAGGCAATGCAGCCTCTGTTGATTTTGACATCTCTTATATATGACACAG